GATTCCATTACCTGTCATACGAGGACAGATTGCGATCATTGGGACTATATTCTGCTCAGTACCGCCGAACTCGAGGAGACTTGATTTTGACGTATCAAATACTGCAGAACCGAAACCATCCGTGTCGTCGCTTATCATGTTATCGAACAATGTACACCTAGGGGGACACCGTTTCAAACTACTGATTCCAAAGTCTCGACTGGATTGCCGGCGCCAGTTTTTTGCAGCCAGAGTATGCAAATCTTGGAACGCCCTTCCATCTTATGTCGTTTGTGCACCCACTATTGAATCTTTCAAGCAGAGACTCGACGAAACTCTTGGCACCCTCACATTCCGTACACTAAAGGCAAACGGGATTCACTGTAGCCTACATTCTCTATCTCCTACCCGGATCTCTATGCGACTCCTTTTTCGATGTGTAACGATTCATCTGTTTAAATATCCTATGGGACGAGAGAAGCACCAGCTTGTAGGCCATTCCCGTAATAAAACTTTGACTTTGACTTTGGCTTTCTAACTTAATATGAGGTATTCCACAGAGAGATGAATGGAAACGGACATCTGGTAACGTTCTGTATGTGTTTGTCAAATTTTTGTTTTAGAGTACTGAAGGAATGTGCACCATATATATTTTCTACACAGCCTGATTTCAAACGAATAACGATCAGTGAGCGATAGGCTTCTCATTTTATGAGAAAACCGAATAGGCGACGAATAAACCGTTTTCAGTGACTTGCGTGTAGCATTCGCGAAATAGTAAATGATGCACCTCGTGTGACAATTTACTCAAGTTCTGTATCATTTAATCACTCGTAATGATGGTAACAATATTCATAAGAGCAATAGTTCAAACAAGAATTAAATGGGGAGAAAGCCCAAAGTTCTTTTATCTTATTAAAAATGCAGTTGCCTTCCATTTCGCGTAGATTTTGCCAATGGGCTAGGCAATACAGCGGTTATTTACATCCGAAATTTGTTTGCACTGATCCTATCATCTTCCGCGCGATGGTTTTACTGCCATCTTCTGAACTGCTAGTCATACTACTACGGTAAAAGTTCGAGTTATTATCGATGTACTTTCTGACGAAAAGAGCAATAAATCATCGATCAGAAGTGAGAACTGTCTAGTTTGACTCACCTTCTTCGGCTGCTATCCGTTTGGCTCGTTGACTGGAACTTCTCAAACGAAATCTTGACATGCTGGATTTGTACTGAACACCGGCATCATCCGATTTGTTCGTATTTTCCCCTTCGGGCAAACTCGAATAATGCAACACATGGGACAGGTTACGAAGTGAACACACACAGTGTTCCACAGATTTTAAATCTGTGCATTGCTGGTGAACTGAGGCACGTATTACGGCCAGAAGACTCCACAACAACCAAGGAGCTTGTCGAAGCTGTTCCCGATATTCCGCGTTATCCATACTGCTTACATTTCTGCGTGTGCAAGAAATCCCAGTGAAAAAAGTGCGTTCAAAGGCAGTTTCGTCCAACAAAGGTATTTTTGACAATGATAAAATGGTCTACACTGTTTGGACAAAAATACCTTCATCCTGTCCATTTAGGCCGAGTTCATAGTTCAGAACCGCCTTTACTAGGTTTCTTCTCCACATTTTAGATTGAGATGTAATTTTCAGAGAATGAAAACAAGATGTTATTGACAGGCATGCTGTCACATGACGGACAGCGAAAGGAACAAGACTCGAATTCACAAAAATATTGCTTGGTTTTTAGAACTGGCAGTCTAAGGTGTGCAAACCGAAGCGCAGAAAATCGTGCAAAAATGATGCGGTTAGAATACTGAATCGGAAACAGAGCAGTAAAGGGAACTGTGAATATTTTATTTGCCTACCAAATTTGATCCTAATTGCTTTTTATTGATACAGACCAACCAGGAATGGTGTATATTTTCCAGAATTTCAGCGTTTGTTGGTTACCGTTCGGTTTCTTTCTTCATTTCCACTTTCTTTTTAGTTGGTTCCCGTAATCCAATCGGTTTTTTCACTTTATTGTGACATCTTAGGCAATAAATCATTTATTAGAAATGGATAACATGATGACGAGAAATACACTCGAGTTCTTCAGAGTACCGGGGACCACAAGTAAATGTAGAAAGGGAAAAAATAATCGTATACTAAGATTTTTTATCCTATACGTTTGTTGAATGTAACTTGTTCCACAACTAGTTTATCGCGTTTCACTGTGGCTTTTATTTTGTCCAATTTACACAATCAGTAGCGGGACGGTGATCCTCCATCGGTGTTTGGATTCGTATGTTCAAAGCAAGCTCCCACAAAGATACCTCAACTACCAATCGTCATCGGAACTCTCAGTTCATATCTAGTTCGGTCCTAGTCATGCAGTACGACATTGCACAACAACAAGAACAAAAACAACAACAAGAACAAGCGCAACCAATGGCGAAAAAGTTTGTGATGCGTACAGGATGGATGCACATCTTCTGATTACTTCGATGGCACTTGTTTATATTTCACTCGCATCAAATCGCTACTGCTTACTGATGTTTTGAAAATGTCAAGCCTGATATATGTCCAGTGAAGAACGCTTCGGTCCAACAGGCTGGTTCATTTCGTGCACTACCTATCGGGCATTTGCTCCCGGTTCACAAAAATCGGGATAGCGCAAAGTGGACAGCATTCAGAACAGGTGTTCTGTCCAGCATCCGAAATGGACCGTGAGTGCTATTGCACTCCGTGCCTGAGTGTTACATTTCTTTTAATGTCATTTGCATACGAATTGTGGTGCGCCAATCCCCCTCAGCAAGAAACAAGATTGGTTCGATAGGTAGCAGATTTCCTTAAGGGTAACGAAGAATGTTCATGCGTAATCAACTGATACCTTGACTAATCTGTTCCAATGTACCTTTTTCTGAACATAAAAAGATACCATTTGAGGTCGATTATGGATGCACTTTCGTACGAATAATGAAACAGATAATATATGGCATTTTATCATCAGTCCCGCACCGTTTTACGTACGAAGGACATAAAACTGATTCACATTTAACTGAGGGAGTGATTAAACCGCTTACATTTATTAAATAAGTGACAATTTTCTGATAGATATAACCGATAACAGTGTGACACCTTAGGGATACTTTTGGTTTCCTAAATCTAACTGAATTGGTTAATTGTGCTTTTCTTATTAAGTGATCTCACATTCATTTAACTGTGAGTAACTGGTAAATTAATTTGTTGTACGCATAGTAGTCATCATCACCACATGACTAATACCTAGCCGGTAATGAGTTACCCAGCAATTGTTCCGGTGTACTGAATGATAAATTTGATTAGGAGTTAAACAAAACACATGTTAAAGCCCCTTGATGAAACTGATTGTTAGGTCCTAATTCGTCCTAAAGGGAAATGCGATAAACTGCTTAGACAAGAATCAAATGAGTGATTTCGCATGTATGGGTAGCCAAACCAATTAGGTCCGATTAATGCGTGTCCCTTTAATAACACATAAGAGTAAAACAAGCCTCGAGACGCCAGATGTGGACCGCATCCAAATACTCAAATCGTTACAATCCAGTTCTCTTCACCTACTTTAATGGATTCAGCTATTCATAAACTGGAAATGCAACCGCTACAACCTCCTGCGATTTTGTCTAGTGTATATTGCTCCCGCTCTCGAATTCTGTTATCAAAACCATAAATATGACTGGAATCTTCGTCCGTAGAATCATCTCCAATTAAGGAGTCCCCGCCAATTTCTCGCTCAACTAAACTTTGCACATTCAAAAATCGTGAATTGCGATCGGAAATTAGAAATTAAACGTAATCAAATTTACATCTATAGCGTGACGCCAGAGTAACCATCTGCAACAACGAACTTGGATGACGATACTAGAGTTTATCGGGATGTATACCACCTACCATACACGATACAAGTTAGTGGTATATTTCGCTAATTTAATCACAGTACTCTGTGCTCGTAAGTATAAAAGCGTGCGATCACAAAAATAGCTGGCTTACCTTACCACAGCTATAGTGTTGCGA